TCCAAGATTTTAGCCAGGAGTCTTGTGGGAATCTTGGATCTGGGTTTGATCAAGAATGCATTCTGAATGCATTAAACGCATTCTGAATGCATTCCTTCCAAAGTGGACAAACAAGTCATGCAACCTACGTGCACAAATATATATATATATATATATGGTACACCAAAAAAACTAAGGACCAAAAGGCAACCAAAAATAGACACAACATATTGCAAATACCAGCAAAAGTGAGGTGAACATTGTTTTTTTTGGGGTGCCACATATATATACATAATATATATATATATATTATATGTAAATAAATCTATACATAATATATATGTATAATGTATGCGTTCATGTCCAGGTCCAGGTGCTTGTTGGCACCACTCGCTCATCGCATTGGAGAACCAAGAAAAACTACAGCAACACGACAAGATACATTGGAGTCTGTCCATTCCAGAGAAGAATGCGCCAGAACCTCTGACACCGGAAATTTCCACCGTCTTTCCAAGATTGCCGCGCAGGTTGAAGCTTGGCAATCTCGTATCAAAGTCCTCCAGAAAGAGAGTGGGGGCCCTCACAAGCAAACAATTGAAACAAATAAATCCAAAGAGAGCGTGTGTTTTGTGCGAGCAAGGGTCCACACTTGTGAGCAAATGCCATTTGCTTTGGCATCACCCACTTTAAGGTGAACACAAAGTTGGTGAGAACAATGATATCTTGGTGGCGAACCGGCCGGTGGTGGACAGCCGTGAGATGAGGAATCTCAGCAGATGTGGTGGGGGGGCAGGAAGGGTGTGAATTGACACAACGCTTTGCTGCTTTGCAGATAGATTTGTCGTACACGCAGGAGTACCTGCTGCATCCACTCCTCTTGAATCCCATTTTGTTTCTTTTTGATGATGGAGCTGAGGCAAGTGGTCGATGCTGACTCAAATACTTGGTCCGCCAAGCAGACCTTCGACTCCAGAGAGAAGAGCGGCGCTCGTCACGTCATGGACCTATTGGGCTTGAAACTTGAAGAAGTCAAATTCAAGTGATTGGAAGTCCAGTTGGTGAGCGAGTCTACCATAAGTGACCTGTTCAGTTGGGCGAGCTCCTTTGTGCGAATTGCATCCAATTGCGTCACCTCTTGTGATCCTGTCTCCTGAGGTTATCAGATGAGAGAGCCTTGCTGCGGAATACTGGGCATGGCCCGTACCAATCCAGCTGCGCGAAAGGGCAGCTCTTACAAAGGGCACTCATCCTGGTTCTTCTTTTTCAGATCGTCCTCCAAACCTTATGTGCTCCGCTCTCTGCTCAAGAAGAGCAGGGCCAGTAGCACTGGCAGTGTTCTGACCAGTCCTGCGCAGCCTCGTCAATGCTCCGACGGAAAATCCAACTCTGCCGGCTGAGTGGGAGGGGGGGGCGGTAAACCGGGTACGAGCATTTCACACAAGAATCACACCAGAGATCCATGTTTGTGATATATTTTGACCGCAGTCATCCGTCCTCTCTGTACATATATGCCCAAACAGCAAACCTGTCCCCTTCCCCAATTTCCAAGGAATGTTCTGATGCTCCCCCAAACGAGCTCACACCTAAACACATTTCGCCTTTCATCTTCCTTTTCACCTATAAAAGGTACCCTTTTTGCCCATGGTACACAAGATTTGCAAACATTTGAGATCTGAAAGCACCATTGGTGGGACAGATAGGTAAACCATACCAAGTGCAGAGGAGCGAACCACCTTCTTCACCACAGACAACACATGTGCTGGTCAGCCCCATTTCGACAGTGACTGAGACGGCGCTGGTCAGTCTTCTGGAGCAAGACTGCGATGGAGACAGCCAAGGTGCTACTACGAGAGTTCAAGACACAGGGTCAACTGTACAGTGCATTTGCAGGCAGCTTGGGACTCTTCTTTGGTGCAGTGGATGGCCCCACGTTGAAGCCTATGGAGAGAACAGTGAAGCCTACGGAGCCGGTTCCGGGGGTGAAGGGAGTTCCGGAGCCACGTGAATTGGGCTTTTGGCGTCGCTTTCTCCTCACAAGCCCTGGTGTGGTGTTGGCTTTCCGATTGGGATTGAAGGCCAAAGACCTTAAGGCCTCCTCATCATCCATTGCCCTCGCCGTGGTACCCACAGTTTGGGGTCCCTTGTTGTTGTATTTGTTTGCATATCCAGCTGGTGTGGAGCTCAACAAGTATTTGACAACTGAATCTGCCTGAACTTTGCCACGTACGCCTCGATCAACTGAGCAGCAACGAACTGCTCTTTGCAGCTTTGCCTTCTGGCGATGCTCGGCGTCTGGGTCAAGGCTTTTACCTCAGACTCAGCAGGACTCACGGTTTGCCGGCCATTCAGGACACAGAGAAGATCAGAGAAGGAAGCCTCCCATTCGCTTTAAACTGGGGGACAGGCGACCTACGCCTTGCTTAGGGTCCAATTCCAGAATTGTTCAAGAGTCTACAATTATGAGGAATCAATGCACAAACAGTGTTGCAGAGCGGCCGCGGACAGCTCGGTGCAAGTTGACCAATGGGAAGCTGAAGGGCACAAGGAAAAGTGGGAAGCCCACTCGATGCTGCAATGTGGTGGGTGGGATGGTTTTCATGGAGTAAAACCTGAGAATCAAACACTTTGATCTTTATGTGGGTGAGTGTGGTGCTTCCGCAGCCATTTGGCTAGTAAGCATATGTTTTCAAACCATTATCATCCATTGTCATGCTTCTTGGCGCACACGCACACAGAGCATGGGGACTCATAGCTGAGCAACCAACTTTTTGTTAGCGCTTTACTATGCTTTACTAAAGTAGTATACGGCATTTCGCTTGTGAACGAGATAGGGCCCCCACATATATAAACGAGATGCTTTTTTTGACGGCACCAAAATAGTCTGAACGAGATACCTTGACATGACCTCCTACTTAAGTAGTCTGAACGAGATATGGTGCCCACACCCCACAGAATAGATAGTGTATTTGAATTTAGCAGTGAATAAATTCCGCCGCTCAGCTGAGTTGAGGTGCTAACATTTCAAAGCCAAAAACTTTCTGCGGACCCTTGGTGCAGATGGCACAGCAAGCAACAGATGCGAGCAACGAAACTCGATGCCATACCTGACCCATTCTCGCAGGCCACATCTGCAGCTTTTCGATTGAAACATTTCTCTCAAAAGAACGACGGGATTTGCTCTGGTATGGCTCTCCTTTTTGATTGAAGTCGCACGAGAAATTGGGGGATGTTGGTTTGTGCCTGACTCTCCATTCTCCCAAGTTGAGCCCTGTAAGAAGTTGTCAGGACCATTTGCTTTGTGCCATCGGCACTACATTGCTTCAGCTCAAGCAGACACAGGTGGGACGATCCGGCGTAGCTCAACAGTTTTCAGCTTTTTCCCCCCAGCTGACCACTGATGATGGTGGCCACATATGTGAACATGTGGAGGCAAGCTTGCTAAAGCTACTGCATACTCTGAGTATCAACGTCCACCGCCTTTTGCGTTGTTCCTCCCGATGACTTCTGCCGATCTCTTCGCCCAATCTCTCATGGTGGTTCAATCTCCCCACCTTCCTTCTTCCGATTTCGATGGATTTGTTCCTGTCAGATCGGGCCGGAGCCAAGTCTCACGTAGCTGTCCTGCTTGACCGGGTAACACAAAGTCGGCCAGGGGCCTTGCAACGCGAAGCTTTGGAAGGTATGCTCTGAGCCGAGAAAGTAGCGTCATGGCAAAATGGATCTAATCTTGCTTTGCAGCCGCATGTCTCACGACAGTTGATTTGGCAGCTCTCCATGTTGGAAGCTTGCTGTGTCGGTCTAGAAGGCTTGCTGATGCGGGTCATTCCAAGGTCTCCGTGAGCCCCACACTGGCTGACAAAGCTCGTGACCTGTCGAAGCCTGAAGTCCATTTGCATTTGGATACTGTCTCGGTCCCCATGCGTATTTTGCAACCTTATATTATATCATATATATATATATATTGGATCAGATGTTAATTATATACTATATATATATAACTATAATCAGATGTTACTTACTCACATGTAGCAAGTGTTCATGTCATTCTCCCTTGGAAGTGGAAGACTTTGGATATCCTTTGATATTGTACAAGGTCTTTCGAACTCCGAACTTCTGTTTCCTTTCAGGTGTTCACCGCGCAAGAGTGCGTGACTTGCCCAGGAGAGATGGTGACGAAGGCATTGTACGGGACTTCCAGGAGTTGGCAGTTGGCAAGAAGGCTGTCCCGCGAACTGGACGGCTGTAGCTGGCTCAAGTTTTGAACCTGCACAGGCTGTGGTGGCAACAAGGCTTGCATGGAGACCTAGTCACCCAGTGCAGTGGTTGCTTACTTGACTTATGACAACCTGACAACCTAATTCTGCAGATGTTTTGCAGCGCCTCGAAAAGGTCAGACGTGCTTCTGAGGTCAGACAAGCTGAGAAACAGTTGGGAGACTCTGCATGGGTGTCCATCCTAAGCGACTTGACACACAGCTTGCAGTGCCCTCAGCCCGAGAAGTGCTTGCTTGTGGAGGGAGTGGGATTGTCGCTGGAGGCGAAAGTGCATCCCAGTGTTTTGCTAAGGCCAGAAATGTCACCTCAATCCCTGTCCTCTACATGCCAAGCTGTCAGAGGCTCAAAGATTCTACAGATGCAAAGTGCAATTAATTGTTTGGACTTGACACATGGCGAGAAGCAATTTGAAGCAATGTCTCTGCTACTGTGCTATTGAACATGCATAGTCTTTGTTAGGTGGCCAAGCTGGGCTTTGGCCGCAGAGCAGAGGGCTTAGACTGAATCTCCATCGCTTCACTGCAGCATTTGGTCCTGAGGCAAACCAAGAGATGATGCTTGGCAGATTTTTTGTTTTGGTCTTGACATGTTTTGACCACATCAAGGGAACAGGTTGTATGTTACTGTACACTGCACATTATGAGTCTATTGTTCAAAACTCGCTCCTCATACTTATTGTTCGAGGAGACTTTGGAATGGCTTTCCCTGCTCATTCCCATACCTTGAATCATCCCAAGCTCCTTTGATGACCACAACACCTTCTACGATTTTAAGACGTTTTTTGGTAGTGCAGATGTTGCCTTTTCAGACCATGCACGTGTTTTGCGTCGTCAGATACTGAGGAGGACAGCGAAGACCCGATTGTTCGAGCAGCTCGCAGCCTTGGTGCAGGAACGTGCAAGAGAGATGGGCCCACAGGACGATGGGATGGATCCACGGAACTGGTCTATCCACAGAAGGAGTCCATCAAAGTCCAAGAGTCTCAAGTTTTTTTAAGATGTAGTTTAGCCCGGTTTTTAGAGCATATGTTTCTCAAACGCCAGCGGCAACCATTTTCACCACCTCCGGTATCCAGTTCCAAGTATGCTTTCTCCTTCCTGCGAATTGGCAAATTGGCCAGGAGATCGCTCGATCTGTATCTGGCCTTGCCATCTCCAAGGAAGTGGCTGCATCTCATCCTGTGTTTTCTGCGTTGGGCGAGGCTCACATGACAGTCTGAAAGGATAAAAGCACTAACAAACATGTAACGAGTATATACAAATCATCCGCGGGCCTTGCAGCGCACATTGCCTCCACGAGTACAAATCATCCGTGATGCACACATTGCCTCCACGAGTTTTGGCCCCCCTCTCCCCGCGAGTTGCTTTTGGAGACATGCAGGCAGCTACATCTCGCTTGGATGACTTCCAGGTCTGACAGTCAGCGCCAGCTGAACGCTTCTGTGGGGCCTTCTGGGAACAGTTGACAAGGCTCCTGCAGCTGCTCAGCTTGTGCTCAAGTCTCAGTGTGATGTTCTTCGATGCCGAAAATGCAGTGTCAGATATTCAATGTCCTTCGATGCCTCTGAAGCCGGGTTGTGGAGGAACGGCTTGTCCAAGCTTCGCCTGGGCGGAGGTGAGGGAATCTGAAGGAATCCAACATGATGATAACTGATACGCTTATTCAGACCATGAACCTTTTGGTGCTTTGGAAACTCGGTGCCAACGGCAAGCATTCGCACAGTTTTGCCCTACTGGTAGCCTGAATATCCTGCTGTCCTTTTGTTTGCATGAGTCATATTACCCTGCTGAACTGACTCCTGCTGTCAGTTCTCAGAGCACATGAAAAGGCTTGCAATCAATGAACGGATATGAACGGACCAATTGCGATGATCGTGAGTGCTGTTGCATTGTTTATCGGGATCGGTACGTGCATGTACTCGTACGTGCAACTAACCTCTCAAAATGGTGTAAAGCTGTAAAACAGATCCAACACGTGGGGGTCAGCAGCATGTGAGATTCTTCCGGCTCAAAAACAGAATCATCTTCTTTCGTATATCACAGTTTTTGTCATCTTCCATTCAAGAATCTTTGTGCAATCCTCCAGATGAAGACTTGGAGTTTTTGGGTTTCCGAGTAGGCCCCAAACAGAAACATTCACTCCGCTAGCTGGGCTTTGATTCCATGCTAGCTTGGCACTTGAAGAATACATGCTCAGCGCCCTCAGCTGAGCATGAACTTTTCTTTGGCGCTTTGTGTTTGCTAACTCCGTGCCGGCAGTACACTAGCACAAAAGCTCTGCAAGGAATGATGATTCGATGATGATGACGAGAGAGTTCCGCGAAGAGTGATCAACCATATTGCTCACTCACACTAATGTATTTACTAGGAAATATCCGACAAGCAAATCCCATGCGATTAATTAAGGCAGGAAACCAGTTGCAAGCATGACATATCCAAAAGACCTGTGCAAGCACGGCCCGTCAAAGAAACAACAATTAAGCGCAGCGGATAAATCTTTCTACAAATCCCGAAGCAGGTCTCCGAAGCATATCCCACGAGCTCCAAGAATAAAACATGAACTCCCAGACATGAGGCCACAAGACTGAGAGTCAAGTTTTGACATGGCTTACCCAGAGATGAGGCTGAGAGTCACATGGATTTCGACATTGTTTCAGCCGCTGGCAACAATCCATCCATAGCTTTGTTGAGGGCCTCTACGACTTTTTGTGTTATTCCTTTGTATGCAGCGGTCAACCAAGCAGGATGGCCTTAAGAGCATCTAGACATTTAGGAAACGAGTAACATGCTCTTGCCTTGTTGCATTCCGCTCCGTCCACAACTGCATGAATACAGTAGTTAGGTAGGGAACGGACACAGCGACCGGGACGTTCTACGTTTAGAGGCACAGGCCATTCGAGAGCGTTGCACACAAGCGGACTTGCCAGGCAGCTCCGGCGTGCTTGCCCAGTTTGCAGGTGTCTTGAAAGATTGGCTGAGCCTGGTTCCAAGAGCTTGGATTGAAAATAAAAAGACATGAGAGTTTGAGGGTGTGGGGGTTGCAGCCCAGGTGAGCTCTACCCCAAGGACCCCTTTTTGCCATGTGGAGATGCTCCGTCAAATGCATCAAGCAATTGCTTTCATTGAGGAGTTGGCCTTGGTGGCAAATGCTTATGCGCGCTGCAGTGTGCCGGCATCAGTGCCTTTGTCCAGCGGAAGGAAAGGAACTGTTTCGGATTGGGATATCCGATCCAACACCAACTCTGGTATGTTGTGGGCTTGGATTGCCTAGAGTGAATTCATAAGCTTACTCGGATATATTCAGGTCGCTCGCGACGACAACCGTCCGCACAGTTTGCTTCGATTCATGTCCATGCCAACACCCTAGATGATACGTAACCCAATGAGCAGACTCGTTTATTGTATAGTTTATTGAAAGAGTAATCACTACATTTTTCGACCCTTGAAATTGTACTTTCTTCACACATTGATTTACCATGTACTGTATATACGTTTTTCATTGATCCACTGCATGGTTCTTGTCACCTCCAGGTCATCATGCATGTCGTAAAGCTTATGCAGCCACTCTGTTTTTTGGACTCGCTTGAAATTGTACATTTTTCGGGGGGGCTCAACATGCATCCAACAATGCCTGCAAATTTAGTATCGTTTACCTGCGGGTCTTATATCAACTGCGCATCTGGTATACTTTGTAATCACTCTGTCTTTCGACCTAGAGATGACAAGTTCCATGCAGTGGACGAATGAACGAAATAGAATTAAATAGATGGGACATCTCATGGTTGCATCATTTGCATCGCAGGTCCGTGAAAGGCGTACTGACGATTCAACGTTCCTTTTAACAGTTTGGGCCGGTCGTCACTGCAAACATACCAATTCAATGTCCTGCCCCAGATCAAAAGGATTATGGCAAAACCTTGCATGTTCCGCGGTTTGCATGTTGTCTTCCACCACGCCTCATGATGCAGGATATGCATTTCCGTTCCTGAACGAAAACACATGTTAACTCTAGGAACTCAATGCACACACCCCAGCAAATTACGCCCCTCAGCACCTTCGGTGCGGGCGGATTTCCTGGGCAACTTCCTTTTCGAATTTGTGGTGCTGCCTCCTGCCTACATCCACCTACTCCGCCGAGGTTTGTGACAGCTTGTTTGAAGAGCTGGCCACTTTGGTGGTGAAATGTATGGATGACCTTGTGTCTCAGGACAAACTTTGCTCTGCACCACTTCCCAAGACCTGAGAAATTCACATGATTGTCAGACTGTCATGTCGCAGATGTCGTCAGGACGTTGCTAATTTAGCGAATGCCTTTGCCAAGCTGGATGCTCCAGGTGGGTGGAGACCTCAACAACATTTCTCCATGGACTCCAGGTTTCAAAACAGCAATTTATGACACTCCAGTAAGCTGAGGCAAGCAGGGCAAGAGTTGCTGCTGCAACTGGCAAGACATGCAAAACTGTTCCAATCTCAGCCGAGCTTGTTGGAATAGACGGGGAGAGACTTTTTCTGGGTAAACTAAGGTAGTGCCTGTATGGCCGACAGTTACCTTTGTCTCGTACGCTTGCAGTAGAAGTAGCTTTGGGCACACATCCGGCGCTTGACCAGAACACTTAACGCGGGTCACTTCAGAATGGTATCATTGCTTGGAACGCCTTTGCAACGGCAGGCCCAGGCACAACAGCCATTCAACAGTGTCGAGTCTGATCCACGACCACCCTCCCTTTTGGTTCGTCCTCCTTTCAGAAGACCAATTGGAAGTTAGCCTCATACATGTGCGGGTGCTCTGCTTTTGGTCAGAATGGGTGGATTCCACCAAGGGTCTGTAAGATTTTGACGTGCAGATTGCCCTGCACACAGTGGCACAGGAGTCCATGAATAATGTACGTCAATGATGTCAATGGTTTCTCGTTTTGTTCTTGGTATAAACATTCATAAATATGCATGGCGGTCTCTTTGGGTGGGTGATACCGAGCTGTGTTGGCACTAGATCCTGACTGTTGCGAGTCAACGAGGCCTGAAATGGATCCTCCACACATTGCCGCCATGGCATGGGCCTATGTTTGAGGCTCAGAAAAACATACCCAGGAAAATAAGGATATATATATATATAAGGATATATAAGGATATATAAGGATATGCAGCGATATGCATGCTAGAAATGACAGGTCGGACTTTAGGTTCTGCAATTCTTCTTGCTATATATTCAAAAAGATTGCACTGCCAAAAGCTGTCCTCATTGAATCCTGAATTTTGGGGAGCTCTCAGGCACGCTTGAAACATCCAGAGGTGCGCCTAACACCATTGCCGCTTGCCATGCAGATCTTATTCCTGAAGCTTGTGCTTCAAGGCTCCTAAACTGCTATGGGCCATCGCGGAGCAGTTGTCCTCCTCCAAAGGCTGGCAATATTCAATGACGGAGATGCCTTCAAGGCAATCATCGTACACTAAAGAAAGAATCCTAGGAACAAGAAGCTACTAGGGGCTCCTGGCCTTACTACTAGGAGCATGGACGCTACTAGGGGCTCCTGGCATCGCTACTAGAAACACGAAGCTACTAGTAACAAATTAGCCATAGAATTTCGCTCTGAGACCGTACAAGCTGTTAGACCTGGCTCTTGAGGCTTTCACTGTTTCTCCACACAAGAAATCGTCAACCTTCTAAGTGTCAGACTCTGATTTGGGGCCGTCGACATGTCACTGAATGTCACTGCATGGAGTGGGAGCTCGCTTTGCCTGCTTTGCCCCAAGGCCTTTGCCAAAACTCGTGTCAGACATCAACTTTTGCCTCCTCCTTACATTCAATTCCTGTGTATATACTGTAACAATACTACTTTGGATACACATCCATTGCTGAACTGTATTTGTGTTGATCAGAGGTACACACACCCGCATTGTAAATTCACAGCAGCTTACGACAGAGAGAGGATGATGCCGAGCTCCGCCAGCTAGGCTTGAACATGTTGTAACCTATTTGAAAGAGAATCCGCAGGCAGGTGCGGGGGGGGGGCTCCAGGGTGTACAGTCGACACTGAGATGAGCCACTTCAATCATGTCAATGGTCAATTTGCAGTAGTAGACTAGCTTATCTCTATCCGCTCAGTGTTTAGCTGCGGCATAATTTTGTGAGTATTCAGCTGTGCCCATATTTTAGCGAATCCTGAGGACGTATCCAGCAGGAACTTTAAACGTTCCGAGTTTAAAGCACAATTACATAATACAATTAATGTGGCTGGTGATGGGGAGACTGGAGTCAACGAACGATCACATGATAACATCAATATCTTGTGGCAAACTTTGCTGAAGAACCACAACACCATGCCATGGGATCACAACCCTTGTCCCACAGTGGTGGCTCCCGATTTCCTCAAGCTGTCCGCAGTTTGCATCCCCGCAAAAAGCAAAGAGGAAAACTAAGGTCTTGGCCATGGGTTGACATGAAAGCAGCCCAACTAACTAATGGACGTTTTCACGAGCTGTGGCAGATGACCAGTCGTTGGATCTTGCCGAGATTTCACACCAGGTTGTTGCTCAGATGGTGCCATTGGCTGCTGCCTTGGGAGCGTCGAAGAAACAACTTTGGCAGAAATCGACGTGTTTGATTCTCAAGGATATCCTCTACACGGCTTCTTCCCTGGCAAGGCAGCGACAGTCAAGCTTACAAAGACTCCAAGAGACGCTCACCATGTGTTCCACGTGTGCGCCACGCTTTCAAGAGCTTGCACCCTTGCAGGATGCAGATCTTTGACGAGACTGTTTACAACCTGCTTGCTCAAAATATTCGACGAACTTGGCCACTCGCATTGCAATTCTGGAGATCTAGGACACGAAGCTTTAGCGATCTAGAAAGGATATGAAAGGATCATAAGTTAGCTGGTTTGGTTTGCAATCAGACACAGAACAGCGTTTTTTAGTGGAATGGAGGACTCCCCACATCATGCGCAATGCCATCCTCTCCTTGTCTTCAGTATTGAGTGCTCAGCGTTCGTTGCTGATAAGGAAAATCAGTGCAAAGCAGGGCATCTATTTCTTGCAGTCCTTGATGCAGGCCTGACGCATTTGCGTGACGTTCGTTCTCCTTTGCTTTTGGCCTGTTGTTCTCTCAGAACTATGAGCAAGAAGAAATCATACTAATTCCTTAACATTTGGTACTTAATGGATCTTAATGTTACTCAAGTATTTCTTAAGTCAGTCCGTCACCACGACAAGGCACAGTGTCTTGACAAAGACTTGGCCAACGGTCTGGTCCCAATCCTTCAACAAGCTCTCCAGCGAGGTGCAGAGAAGACGGAACCACACAGATGTTCGAAGCATTTTTCGCGCTTTTTCCTATGCAAGTAGCTAAGCATAGCCACATGCCGCCTTTTTATCCAGTTTTTTGTTGAGAATGCGTAGGTGGGCACACTTTTGGTCCATTCTCGGGCTGACAGGTCAAAAAGACCCGAGCACATCTGATTGGGTTGTCCAGCTCTTACGTCCAAACGTGGACACGTTTAAGCCAATGCGTGCACAATGTATATGTATGTATATATATTGTAAGGGCTCCGCCCGGGTGCCGCCGACCCCTTTTCATCTCGAGGGTTTGGCGGTTGAACCTTGACAACTTCCTGGGATTCAACAGCGAGACTTGGATGGGCTTCACACCAATGCTGGCATTCAACCAGCTGCCGAGAAGAGGGCCAGGCTGCGGTGAGGCTCTGGGGAGCGTTTGAAGCCGAGCCCAAATGCCTAACGTTGCCTTCGGAAGCCCATAAGAAGAGAGGAGGCAGGCTTCGGACAGGCCACAGAGAGGCCGCAAGAGGCCTGCCGGCTGCCGAGAGGCTTTTGAAGCCGGCCCAAAATGCCTAACGTTGCCTTCGGAAGCCCATAAGAAGAGAGGAGGCAGGCTTCAGACAGGCCACAGAGAGGCCGCAAGAGGCCTGCCGGCTGCCGAGAGGCTTTTGAAGCCGGTCCAAAATGCCTAACGTCGCTTTCGGAAGCCCATAAGAAGAGAAGAGGCAGGCCTGCCAGCTGCCGAGAAGAGGGCAAGGCTGCGGTGAGGCTCTGGGGAGCGTTTGAAGCCGAGCCAAAA